TCCACCTCCTGGGTTCAAGTGATTCTCGTGCCTCAGCTTCCCAAGTAACTGGGATTACAGGTGGTCTGCCACCCTGCTAATTTTTTGTTTAGTAGAGATGGGGTTTCACTAGTTTGCAACACCAGGCTGGTCTTGAACTCCTGACCTCAGGTGATCCACCTGCCTTGGCCTCCCAAAGTGCTGGGATTACAGGCGTGAGCCACTGCACCCAGCTCTATTTATTAATTTTTTGAGACAGAATTTCGTCCTTTCACCCAGGCTGGAGTAAAGGGTGGCATGATCTCTGCTCACTGCAACCTCCACCCCCAGGGTTCAAGCAATTCTCCTGCCTCAGCCTCCCAAGTAGCTGGGATAATAGGTGCCTGCCACCATGCATTTTTTTTTGTGTGTGTGTGTGGTATTTTTAGTATAGACAGGGTTCACCATGTTGGTCAGCCTGGTCTCAAACTCCTGATCTCAATCCACCCACCCTAGTTTCCCAAAGTGCTGTGATAACAGGTGTAAGCCATCACACTGGGCCTCTCTTTTTGCCTTTTTTTTTTCTTTTTAGTTTTTCTTCTTTTGTTTGCATGTCACATGGCATCTCTTTTTTCAAAGACACATTTTACTCCGTTGCCCAGGCTGGAGTGCAGTGGTGCAATCTTGGCTTGGTGCAACCTCTGCCTCCTGGGTTCAAGCATTCCTCATGCTTCAGGGTCCCGAGTAGCTGGGATCACAGGCACATGCCACCATGATGCCTGAAGCCCAGCTAATTTTCTTTTATTATTTTTTTGGAGGCGGAGTATCACAGTTGTCACTCAGGCTGGAGTGCAGTGGCACAATCTTGACTCTGTAGCTTCCACCTCCCAGTTGAAGCAATTCTCTCCTCTGAGCCTTCCAAGTAGCTGGGATTATAGGCATCTGACACACCTGGCTAAGTTTTGTATTTTTAGTAGATAACAGGGTTTCACAATTTTGACCTGGCTGGTTTTGAACTCCTGAACTTATGTGATCCACATGCTTTGGCCTCCAAAAATAACGAGATTATAGGCGTGAGCCACTACACCTAGCCTAATTTTTGTATTTTTTTAAGTAGAGACGGGTTTTCACCAAGTTGGCAAGGCTGGTCTCAAACTCCTGACCTCAAGTGATCTGCCTGCCTTGGCCTCCCAGAGTGCTGGGGTTACAGGCGTGAACCACTGCACCCAGCCCAGAAATTTATCATCCTCCCAAACTTCTCCCCTTAAAATACCCATTACCCATTCTCCCTCCCCCAGTCCCTGGCACCCACCATTCTCCTGTCTCTGTGGATTTGCCTATGCTGGACATCTCATCGAAATGAGATCATAGGCTGGGTACAGTGGCTCATACCTGTAATCCCAGCACTTTGGGAGGCCGAGGTGGGTGGATCACTTGAAATCAGGAGTTGGATACCAACCTGGCTGACATGGTAAAACCCCATCTCTACTAAAAATACAAAAATTAGCTGGGCATGATGGTGGGTGCCTATAATCCCTGATATTCGGGAGGCCGAGGCACAAGAATCGCTTAAAGCCAAGAGCGTGGAGGTTGCGGTGGGCCAAGACTGTGCCACTGCATTCCAGCCTGGGCAATAGAGTACGACTCAGTCTCAAAAAAAAAAAAAGGCCACGCGCAGTGGCTCACGCCTATTAACCCAGCACTTTGGGAGGCCAAAGCGGGCAGATCACCCCAGGTTAGGAGTTCAAGACTAGCCTGACCGTGGTAGTGCACACCTATAATCGCAGCTAGTCAGGAGGCTGAGGCATGAGAATTACTTGAACCCAGGAGGCGGAGGTTGCAGTGAGCCGAGATTGCACCATTGCACTCCAGCCTGGGCAACAAGAGCGAAACTCTGTCTCAAAAAACAATAGAGAGAGAGAGAGAGAGAATGTGTCAGAATGTCCTTCCTTTTTAAGGCTGAATCATAGTCTATGGTATGAATACACCAAATTTGTTGATCCATTCATCTGTTGAGTTGTCTCCACCTTTTGGCTGTTGTGCAGAACCCGGCCGCGACCATGGGTATGCACATTTCTTTTGGAGTCTCTGCTTTCACTCCTTTCCTTTCCAAGCCTTATACAGCTTTGTTGTTGGCTGAAATGATAAGGCAGCAGCTGACCTGTTTCTGGCTTTCCCTGTTACCTTGCTGAGGGCCTGATAATGCAATTTTATAACACCTTTTGAGGTGGGATCAACTATTTTCTTTCTTTCTTTTCTTTCTTTCTTTCTTTTCTTTCTTTCTTTTCTTTCTTTCTTTCTTTCTTTCTTTCTTTCTTTCTTTCTTTCTTTCTTTCTTTCTTTCTTTCTCTTTCTCTCTTTCTTTCTTTCTTTCTTTCCTTTCTTTCCTTTCTTTCTTTCTTCGACGGGGTTTCACCATGTTGGTCAGGCTGGTCTTGAACTCCCGACCTCAGGTGATCCGCCTTCTTTGGCCTCCAAAGTAGATTATAGGTATGAGCCACGACGCCCGGCCAACTATTTTCTTTTTATAAACAAGGACACTGAGGCTGATAATGGGCGTAGAGTCACCCAGCTTGGGAGGGACAGGATTGTGAGTGGAACCCCCATCCTGCTGTCAGCTGACTGGCTCCAGTTCTAGCAAGTTCTAGAGCCTGACTAGGATCAGGGTCAGGAGCCTCAAGGCAAAGGAGGAATTAGACCTTTGAGGAATGTTTGGCCCAGAGTGGAAGGAGAGGAGGAGATAACAGTATTCAAATATTATTTATTTATTGAGACAGAGTCTCACTCTGTTGCCCAGGCTGGACTGCAGTGGCAGGGTCTTGGCTCACTGCAACCTTCACCTCCCAGATTCAAGTGATTCTCCAACCTTAGTATCCTGAGTAGCTGGGATTATAGGCATGGACTACCACACCTGGCTAATTTTTGTATTTTTCTTTTCTTTCCTTTCCTTTTTTTTTTGTTTTGTTTTTTGAGACGGAGTTTCACTCTTGTTACCTAGGCTGGGGTGCAATGGCGCGATCTCGGCTCACCGCAACCTCCACCTCCTGCGTTCAGGCAATTCTCCTGCCTCAACCTCCTGAGTAGCTGAGATTACAGGCACACGCCACCATGCCCAGCTATGTTTTGTATTTTTAGTAGAGACGGGTTTTCACCATGTTGACCAGGATGGTCTCGATCTCTTGACCTCGTGATCCACCCGCCTCGGCCTCCCAAAGTGCTGGGATTACAGGCTTGAGCCACCGCGCCCGGCAGGTTCTTTTCTTTTCTTTTTGCTTTCGTTTGAGACAGAATCTTGTGCTTATCACCCAGGCTGGAGCGCAGTGATGTGATCGCGGCTCACTTCAGCCTCTGCCTCCTGGTTTCAAGCAATTCTCCTGTCTCAGCCTCCCAGGTAGCTGAGATTGCAGGTGCCTGTCACCACGTCTGGCTAATTTTTGTATTTTAATAGAGATGGCATTTCGCCATGTTGGCCAGGCTGGTCTTGAACTCCTGACCTTGTGATCTGCCCACCTTGGCCTCCTAAAGTGCTGGGATTACAGGTGTGAGCCACTGCCCCTGGCCAATTTTTGTATTTTTCTTTTTTTTGAGACGGAGTCTCACTCTGTCACACAGGCTGGAGTGCAATGGCACGATCTTGGCTCACCGCAACCTCCGCCTCCTAGGTTCAAACGATTCTCCTGCCTCAGCCTCCAGAGTAGCTGGGATTACAGGCATGTGCCACTGCGCCCAGCTAATTTTTGTATTTTTAGTAGAGACGAGGTTTCAACATTTTGGCCAGGCTGGTCTTGAACTCCTGACCTTGTGATCCACACACCTCAGCCTCCCAAAGTGCTGGGATTACAGGTATGAGTCACCAAGCCCAACAGAGGAGATAATATTAATAGTTGTGTTCACTTAGCAAAGAAGAGCTTATGACCTGCCATTCGATTTATCAGTTTTGCTCCTTCAAGCCTCATAGCAGCCCTAGGAAGTGGTGAGTATTAGCATTCTCCTCATTTTGCAGAAGGAGAAACTGAGGCCTAGAGGGGTTAAGCCACTCAAGTGAGGTTACGGTGCTACGAAGTGATGGAACTGGGGTTTGAATCCAGGCTCTCTGGTCCCCTATTTAGCAGAAAGGAAGGCAGGAGAAGGGAAGACAAGGACAGGTAGGTGTGAGTGGGGGTGAGATGAGATGAGACTTGCTGGCCTGGCACAGTCTCGGCTCAGAACGTAGAAAATCCTAGATCCTGAAACCCAAATCACCTGCTTCTCTGTGTCTTCTTCCATGGACAAAGAAAATGACGCCAGAAGACCCAGCCAGCTTGGATGATCACTCAGGGACCACCGCCACCCCCGGCAACTCCAGGACCCGGAAGAGGCCCACTTCCACATCCTCCTCACCTGAGCCCCCGGAGTTCAGCACTTTCCGGGCCTGCCAGTGAGGCTGAGGACTGGGGGCTCTGTCTCCAGGCATTCGGGGCCTGAGGTCCCTCCAGCCACTTCTGGGGTGGAGAGGGGGCTCTGTTGGCTGCTTTCTCAGGGAATTGGACAGGAAATGAAGGGGAACCCTGGCCTTAGGGTTTTCATCACAGAGGAGTGGGAGAGAGGGCAAAGGCATGGGCCTGGCACTGGAGAGGCAACAGGAAGTTCCCCTCTCGACCTTCAGCTCCTCAGGACCACCAGAGAAGGAGATGTCAGGACCCCTTCTGGTCCCCCATCTGGGACGTAAGGGGTCGCAGGTCTCTGCACACCCCTGGAGTTCCTCCCTTCCCCGCTGGGTTTTTGAGCATAGGGTGCCCTTGGGTGTGTTGAGTGTGTCTGCCTGCTGGCTTACCTAAGTTATTAATTATAACACGTGTCAAGGTGTTCCCAGGCCTCTATGGAGTGGAATCCTTCAAACTGGGGACCTTTGGATCTCATGGCTGGATAGCTGGGGGCGGGATGGTACATACCTGAATTCGCTGCATTTGAAGCACCCCCCAAGGGCAGCCAGAGTGGTGTATGCAGAGGCTTCTGGGGGTGTGGGGAGTGCAGCAGTGCCATGCCGGGGTCTCTGCAACGGTCCTTGAATTAGGGGGTTTCGCAGGTGGAATGACGGGCACATAGGGGCGGAGGGGCATGTAGAATGAGGACCCCTCGCAGTGGCTCACAACTATAATCCCAGCACTTTGGGAGGCTGAGGCGGGCAGACCACCTGAGGTTGGGAGTTTGAGACTATCCTGGCCAACATGCTGAAACCCCGTCTCTACTAAAATACCATAACAAAAGTTAGCTGGGCGTGGTGGTGCGTGCCTGTAGTCTCAGCTACTCGGGAGGCAGAGGCAGGGGAATCACTTGAACCCGGGAGGCGGAGGTTGCAGTGAGCTGAGATCGCACCACTGCACCACAGCCTGGCCACAGAGCGAGACTTTGTTTAAAAAAAAAAAAGGAGGCCGGGCGCGGTGGCTCAAGCCTGTAATCCCAGCACTTTGGGAGGCCGAGGCGGGTGGATCACGAGGTCAAGAGATTGAGACCATCCTGGTCAACAAGGTGAAACCTCGTCTCTACTAGAAATACAAAAATTAGCTGGGCATGATGGTGCATGCCTGTAGTCCCAGCTACTCGGGAGGCTGAGGCCGGAGAATTGCTTGAGCCCAGGAGGCGGAGGTTGCGGTGAGCCGAGATCGTGCCATTGCACTCCAGCCTGGGCAACAACAGCAAAACTCCGTCTCAAAAAAAAAAAAAAAAAGGAATGAGGCGTAAATGAGGTTTCGGGAAGAGTTAAAGCAGGGGTGCTGGGAAGTGGCCCAAGCCCACTGGGTGGCCCAAAAGGGATGGGGCCACCCAAAGCGAGTGGCGATGCAGAGATACAGGGGTTTGTGTTGCGGGAGAGGGTGCCAGGGCCGAGCTGGGCCGGACTTAGCATCGTTGGAGGAGGGGCTCAGAGAGGAGGGGGTCAAGGATATCTTCTGCGAAAGGAGCTAAACTTTAAGGATGAAGAAGAGAGTGTGAGGGGGCAGAGATGATAAGGAAGGGAGGAGGGGCGGTCGAAAGACGGGAAGAGGTCCTTTCAACCAGGCTTCGGTTGCGCTGGGAGGCGGAGGCCTTTTCTTCGGAAACGGTCGTTGTTGGGGAGACCAGGGGGCGGGGCCACGGCGTGTGGGCGTGCCCCAGTGCTGACCACGCCCTCCCCCCCCGCCCGTCCACAGAGCGGGGCGACTCAAAGCGAGTCCCGTTGGGAGGGCGCGGGCAGGTACCGGGCCGTGTAGCGGCCGGGCCCCGCCTTCCTGCGGGCTGCCTCACAAAGCCGGGCGGGCCCGGGGGGCGGGGCCCGGTCTCAAGGGCGTGTCTAGGTTGGGGCCGGAAAGCCGCATCACAAAGGGCGGCCGTTCATGCGCGGCGGGGTCCAGGGCGTGTCCGCGCGACCGAGCAAAGCCTCGCCGTCTCCGCGCCTCCGCGCCGACTCACCCAACGCGGCCGTTAAGGAGGCGCGGGCTTGGGGGCGGGGCCCAGGCCTCCGAGGGGCGTGTCCGCCAGCCCGAGCACCGCCCCCGACGCACACTCCCGCGCCGCCCTTCCGGGCGGTGGAGCCACCTCACAAAGCGGCGACCGTTCTCGCGGGGCGGGGCAGTCCCGCTCCCCGGCGCGCTCTCGCTCGCTCGCTCGCTCCCCGCGCCCAGGGCAGCCGGCAGGGGGCGCTGAGCCACGCGACCGGGCCGCGGTGGCGGTGGCGGCGGCGGCGGCGAGGCGGAGCGTGGCCGGCAGGCGGCGCTGCCCGGCTCGGCCTCGGCCTCGGCCTGCACGGCGGCGGCGGCAGCGGCGGCGGCGACCTGGGCCCGGGCGCAGCGGCGGCGGCGGCGGGGCCTGGAGCCGGATCTAAAATGGCAGCGGCGGCGACGGCGGCGGTGGGGCCGGGCGCGGGCGGCGCGGGGGCGGCGGGTCCGGGCGGCGCGGGGCCCTGCGCGGCAGTGTCCGTGTTCCCCGGCGCCCGCCTCCTCACCATCGGCGACGCGAACGGCGAGATCCAGCGGCACGCGGAGCAGCAGGCGCTACGCCTCGAGGTGCGCGCCGGCCCAGACGCGGCGGGCATCGCTCTCTACAGCCGTGAGTGCGGGGCCCCGGGGCGGGTGCAGGGCCAGGGCTGCGCACGATGCCGGCCTGGGGCGGGGGCCGGCGGGGAGGGGCCCGGAGCGTGGGGTCCCTGGCATGGGGTCCCAGGGGCCGAGCCGGTGGCCGGCAGGGAGGGCGCGTGGAGGGCGGGTGCCAGGGATCAGACAGAGGAAAGAGGGCGTGCGTGGTGGCCGGAGGGACGAGGTGCCCAGAGTGAGCAGGGAAGCGGGAAATGGAGAGTGAGGGGCCTGAGATTTGGAAGGGGAGGGTGGGCAGGAAGTGGGGGGCCCTGAGTGGAAGGGGAATTTGAAGGAAGCCGGGCATGGGGGGCTTAAGCGTGGGGTAGGGAGGCCTGGGGTGCGGGAGAGGTGGGCGTCTCGGGGGCGGGCGTGGCCGCCTCTGCAGGGAGCAGGGTGGGGCGTGGGCGGCCCGGGATTCTCTCTGGGGACCCCTGGGCAGCTTAGGACGGTCGGAAAGTGTTTGCTTGCCCGGGAGGACCGAGTTCCTCCCCTGTGAAAGGCAAGGTGTTTAGGACCCCCGAGAGGGAAACTTCGGGACCTGGGGAGAGGGCCCATGCGTGGACGGTGGGAGCCGCAGGATGAGCTCCTGGTGGAAACGTGGACTGGCGGGGCCCCTTCCTGATGCCGGGCTTCGAAGTAAGAGGTAACACAGCTCTCTCCCATCTTCTTTTTGGAGATGTGAAACGCTGGTTACATTTTCTGAAGCTGTTTTCAAAACTGACATTTCACGGGGTGGTGGTGGGGGGAGAAAATCACAAATGTGTTTGCCCCGCCCCCACCGCTCCCAGTCTTTGTAGTTCATTCTTCTTGTTACTCTTCTTATCTCTTCTCTTTGATTCTTGGTTCACATTTTGCTATTCTGTGTCATTTGGCTTTGTCTCTCTGGGCTTCTGGCACTGATGCCCTTGTGAGCCCCTCAGGAGGCCTCTAGCTGGCTTGGGTCCCGTGTGAATTTTTTGCCACTTTGGGAATGGGCCGATTAACGGAAATCCCGAGGAGCAGTCGGTTCACACTGGGTTTTCCCTGAACCTCGATTTTGAAAACGTGGACTAAAGGAGCTGTGTCTGCTGCCCAAGGGTGCCATCTCTTTTTGCTGGGGCAGAACCTGGGTCTTCTTGAACCAGATGAGGAGAGGGGAAGGAGGATATTTCAGGGGTGCTTTCAGAGTTCAAGGCAGACACTCAGCTCAGTAGAACCCCAGATAATAAGCAAAACCTATTCATTGGGTAAGCATTGGTAGATCTGTCCTGAACAGAACAAAGTGGGGGAGCATTTCTAAAACTAGGGTCCGGGAGCTTATCCTCAAAGGAGTTCCAGGAGAGCTGGCTATCTTTTTTTTGTTTTGTTTTTTGAGAAAGATTCTCACTCTGTCTCCCAGGCTGGAGTGCAGCGGTGCTATCTCGGCTAACTGCAACCTCCGCCTCCTGGGTTCAAGCAATTCTCCTACCTCAGCCTCCTGAGTAGCTGGGATTACAGGCCCACGCCACCACCCCGGGCTAATTTTTTTTTTTTTTTTTTTTTTTTTTTTTTTTTAGTAGAGATCGGGTTTCACTGTGCTGGCCAGGCTGGTCTCGAACTTCTGACCTCATGATCTGCCCGCCTCAGCCTCTTAAAGTGCTGGGATTACAGGTGTGAGCCACTGTGCCTGGCCCTGGCTATGATTTTTAAATAAACCTTTAAAAAAATTTTTTTAGGACCAGGCGCCGTGGGCATGGAGGCATGTGCCTGTAGTCCCAGCTACTAGGGAGGCAGAGGCAGGAGAATCACCTGAACCTGGGAGGCAGAGGTTGCAGTGAGCTGAGCCATTGCACTCCAGCCTGGGAGACAGGGCCAGACTCGGTCTCAAAAAACAACAAAAAGAACCTTTTAGAACAGTTTTAGTTTTATAGATATATTGGAAACATAGGCCCGGCAGAATAACCTTTTGTGTTTTTTTACTCCTGGAGTAACATTTTGTGTTTTTTTGTTGTTACTCTCAAAAGTATTGCTTGTTATTAAGCAGAACTTCTCTTTGAGAGGTAATTGCAATGGAAACATTTTTTTATCATTAGAGACTAGGTTTCACCATGTTACTGTGTTGCCCAGGCTCCTCTCAAACTCCTGAGCTCAAGTGATCTTCCTGCCTCCCAGAATGCTTTGATTACAGGCGTGATCCACCCCACTGACCTGAAACATTCATAAAAAGGAGAAAGTCCTTTTCCTCAGAGATCCCCAGTTCCAGATGATATATTCTCAGGGATCTCAAAGAATTTTTTCCACTTTATCCTTTTTTTTTTTCTTCTTTTTTTGAGACAAGGTCTCATTCTGTTGTTCAGTGCCGAGACTGGAATGCACTGGTACAGTCTCAGCTCACTGCAACTTTGACCTCCAGGGCTCAAGTGATCCTCCTACCTCAGCCTCCCAAGTAGCTGGGACCACAGACATGCACCACACCCAGCTAATTTTTTGTATTTTTTTGTAGAGAAAGGTTTTCACTGTGTTGGCCAGGCTGGTCTCAAATTCCTGGGCTCAAGTGATCCTTCCTCCTTGGCCTCCCGTGTAGTCTTGGAATTACAGGCGTGAGCCCCCACACCAGCCCTCTTTATCCTTTAGTAACTTTGGCTTGGAGATAAAAAGTATGGGTTCTTGGCCAGGTGTGGTGACTCACACCTGTAATCTCAGCACTTTGGGAGGTCAAGGCAAGTGAACCACTTGAGGTCAGGAGGTTGATACCAGCCTGGCCAACATGGTGAAACCTCGTCTCTACTAAAATTGCAAAAA